GAGAAATAGAGCTTCTACTGCGCGATTCGCGTTATATAAAGAATTTTCCTACTACAAGACTCCCATCGAATACCTTCATTCAATGGAATCGGGACTTGTATGTGAGGATCCCAGATATTGCTGAAATAGTCACAAAAATTTGTCTATGTAATTATAAGCACCGTAGTTATCTTATTGAAGAGTATCACAGACTTTGCTGAAATATTCCTGAAAGACATACATTTTATGTATCTTATACTGCTAAGGTAGGAGTAAGAGGAAGAAGAAATAAGATAGCAAAAAGATTGATTTAGACTTACCTGTGTAGCTTATTCTGTGTAGCTTTCTGGTACTTAGAGGACTTTCACTTTTTGGAGCTTCTCACGCTTAACTTGAATTGTAATTAGGACTAGAACTAGATTAGCCTTTTTTCGCTTGTGCACCCTTTTTTAAAGCCTATGGATGGTTGGAAGAAAAATCCCTCTCAGCCCCTAAAAATTAGGAAGAGTGGAAATAGCAGCAGTTATTAATTGGCTGACTGAGATCTTTCTATTTTTCCTTCTCGGCTTTCGGGCCCTAATTGACTCGAGGACGTGGTGGAAATCGGGGGCGTGGTGGGGGGCCCTATCTTGTTAGATGGCTCTTCAAGTACCATTTTCGTTACGTATTATCTTATAATTAATATTTTATCTATCACATAAATTCTTATAAATTATTCTTAATAATAGCGCGACTTACATGATATCTCAATATATTTCAAGTGAAAATCTTATATTCCATGTGTTTGTCACTTCTAACTTATTTAATTAACTCGATTCGTTGTTTAAATAATATGGAATAGAAAAGGAAAAATTGTGTATTATTACTAGGTTGTACCAGAGTTGTTTACCTAAAATTTGGTCTATTCCTAACTAAAATTAATTTCCGAACGAAAACTATCCAATTAATTTATTGTTCGGAGATTGTGTCTTCGAATTTTATTGGCCCATTGATTCACTTAATTTTGGCACTAATTTTAAAAGTTAGCATTAAAATCGTTAAAGAGTTATACTTGTTATTTTATTTGTTGAAATCAATTTTATTTATTACGTACACAATTTTAACTTGTATCGCATAATGTAATAATAAATTAAAACTTAAGTTACACGTTAGACACACACAAAAAAAATTTTTCTCTTATTAAACGGCCCGACATTACAGAAGAAAACAAAAAAATTTTTTGTATTTGATCCTGTTGAATCAATCTTTCATTAATTCGACAAGTTTAAATATAAACTGGTGATGAGTAATGAAATATTTAGGAATACGAGTATCGAGTTCGTGTTAAAAACATATGAGTCATTCACAATAGCAAGTATCTCGGAACTTATTTCCACGCGTACGATTCATAAAAATTGTATGGGCACGTATAAAAAATTACGTGTCGAATATTTTTTAATGTACTACATCATATTTAAATTTCTAGAAAATCTATGAGGTACACCTGGGGTAGTTTCCTTCACAGAGGCAGCAATAGCATTACAAATTTATCTAAACGGCTATCCTCAAAGTTCGCTTAATTCATGTCGAATTATAGTGGGTGGAAGAAAAAATATATATATATATATATATATGTGTGTGTGTGTCAAAAATTTAATTTTCGAAATGATATTTTTCTATCTAGTAAGCTTAAGTGAGTTAGAAAGAGTGCCGAATCGTAATTTCTGTGCTCCTCTTAGGTTGTGATAGGATTGGATCAAGATCAGTTTATATCTACATGCTCACTTTAAAACCGGGTTCATTCTTTAGACATAAAGATATTTTTTGTTGTTGATTCACTGAGAATACCCAACGAGAGCTTTCTCGAGGAGTAAGCAGAATCGCTCATTAGGAGACGACTCTTGGTATCTGATTTGTGCTAGTTGCCGACATTTAACGTCATCGAAATCATGAGAGAATCCAGTTAGGATATTACATAGATATACGTTGACTGAATGCGCACATGAAAATGTGTTCGAAATTATGAGCAAAGCTCACTCAATCTAGCGCGTGAACTCGAACGAAGATCAGCAGATAGAGATTCTCGAATGATTCATCCAGCAGTTGGCTATAAATATGTAATGCGGGCAGTGCATCTGTTATTTATTTCCCTTTAATAATAAACATACTGCGGAAATTCTAGGTCGAGAGATTTTGCTCGTAAACATACATAAACATGGAGAGAGATATTGAGGGGAAAGAAAGAAAGATATAAAGGGAGGAAATACAGTATCACTACGCTTTGTGTTGTGACGAGAGCAGGCCGTGTGCCGGTTTCTCGTCTGCGTTTCTCCCTCCTTCTCCACTCGGCAAGGCGTGGTGGCCAACGTTGGGCGCATTAAAGTATGCGCCTAACACTTGGCCTTTTTGTTTCAGCGCCAAGGATGGGCCAGCGCAATTGAGCGCAGAAAAATTGAAGAGCGCGGAGAGAGTGAGAAAGAGAGAGAGAGAGAGAGAGAGAGCGAGCATTAGGCCTATGTAGGAATAGGCAGGCGCGCGACGCGTGACCGATAAGCGGCGCGCCGCGTGCCGCCTAACTAATAGGTCAGGAAGGGAGAGGAGTGAGCGCCGCTGAGCGGCCGCGAGATGAGCGCGAAAAAAAGTGCGTGCGCGAGTAGTATTCCAGTTCCGGGCAGTGAGAAAGGAAGAGAGCCAGAAAAGATCAACTCGAGGGCAGCAGCCTTGTCAGCTATTACAGCCTTCCGGGACAGCAACCTCCACAGCTTCTACTGTCCCCCGGAACAACGATCTCGCCACGGTTGCAGCTCTCCTTGGAAAGCGACCACGCCATCCACAGCAGTTCTTCCGGGATTACAACCTCACCGATTGCAGCTCTCGACCGAGTAGACAGCAACGCAACAAGGTCAAGGTTCTTTGTTCTTTTCTGAATCTCTCTTTCTCTCTACACTCTCTCTCCGGTAATGCGACGACCGGTGCGCATTGAATAAGGTAGCCAGGCATTCACGTGCCGGCTATCTAAATGTACGCGCTTAAGTTTAATTTGTATTAGTGATAGTTGCGACTGGCGAATTGTTAAGGCGCTCACGCGCCGGTTAATTCATCCGGTACAGGTTTCTGCGTAATTTTTAAGTAAGTTTGTAAATAGGATAAGTGCGTGATTAATAATTGTTTAGTTAGGAGAAACCGCGATATATTTGTTCGCGATGATACTAAACCGTTTATTTTGTTCTATTCCGTCGTTAGTTGGTCAATAATTTTAGATTGTCATGCGCGCGTATGTCTAGTGTGAATAATTATTAATAATAATAGGTTGTAAGTTTAATTTGATTTTTGTCTTTGTATAATTTATTTATTGACCTCCCCTCTCTTTTCTCCCTCAATTGCCTTGGGCGAAAGTGCCTCATTTACCCCGCAAAGAATCGGTGACAAGGAGAGAGTATTGTCACAGTGTTACTAATGAAAAAAGATAAACTTTTATACAGATAGCTACGCCGACGTTGACAAATTTAATGCTGCCTGTATCAATAGAATGTAAGATCAACCTACAAATTGCCCTTGGTTCGTCTGTCTTGTACACAGATGATTCTAAGAAGTTCTCTGTTGGACAAAGATGTCTAGCCTTCTAAAAGTAGACGCCAAATCATCGTAACTGGCAGGATGTTGGGCGGCTTCTTACATAGCATTAAGACGTGGCTGATTTTTCAGATTCCCAAAAGTCGAGACGAAATGCTACTAAATAAATGAGCCGCTTATTTTGAAAGTGGCTTAACTCCATTCATCTTCAAATCGAGATATTAAAAGTTTAGGCCATTTTCAAACTACACGGCTCAGTTATTCAATTAATTCGGAAAACTTATGTGTAAAAAATGTATTATTTTCTCTGAATATAAGCAATCTGAAGTGCTTCACTGATAAATAACATGAAGTTGTACATGTAACCATTGTAAGTGGCAGAAAATTGAAAAACGGAGTTAGGTCACTTTCAAAATAAACGGCTCAAATAGTTTTCGAGATTGACGTGAAACATGCATGTTACTTTCACTCACTTGCACTGCCAATTTATATCGGATCGCTTTCTTTTTTCATGCTTCTCACCTGTACCAGCCAGTCTATTTATCGAATCCTTCGTGATTTCCTTTTTTCCTATATCGCTACAATAGAAATATATGTGTCTATAGGTGTGTGTGTGTGTGTGTGTGTGTGTGTGTGTGTGCGTTATACACATGTATGTACACATATACATATTTTTTTTGCTTGTTCATTCAATAATTGTCTTTTAGAAAAAGTGGTCGGATGTTGTGAAGCATTTAATGCGCCTGTTACATGTTGACATTTTTTTTATTGTTTATATTTATATTTTAGAGAAGAGAGGTTATATTTATTACTACACAGTGTGATGAAATTTTTGCTTACTCCGATTATAATAATAAATATAAATATATGGTTAAGACGATTATTGTTATCAAATGTGTATTAAATAAGGATTCTCTATTTGTAAGATTTTTATTTTTTAATAGAATAGTACCTTAATATTACAGCTCCTAAACTACAGAACTAAATACTAGGGCACTCCAAAATGTTACAAGGTTCACTTTGACATTCATTATCATGTACTAAATTTGTTCAATAAATGAGGTGATACATACTGACGATATAATTGAGATTTCATAATTTATATCGAATTAAATTAGAACAAATGAAAAAGTGTACTAGCAATATTTTTTGTTAGTACAATCTTTATAGAACAGTGTATATAAATTTCAATTCTTACTATTAATTATCTGACCCATTTAAGAAACTTGTATACTCACAATCTTCTTCCCTTACCGAAGATTATGGCTGAATATGGCCTTATGGCTATCAGCTACCGAAATTAGCTAATGCAAAAGTTGCAATTCTTTAGTTTTTTATGCTATTATTAATATGATAGAATCATTCATATAATACTAATGTAACTGCTCGGGTATTATATTCCACGAAGAAATTTAATTTATGAGATTTACATGTTTATAAAAAACTAATTTATTATTAATATATTACAGATTCATTCACCATAACTATAGTAAAAATGTTGATATTAATCAATCTACAAAGGTTATAGAACCACAAAATTTCATATATTGTGACTGATATGGATGCAAGTTCAATAAAAAATAATCTTTCGGAACTCAAACGTGGAATTTCGGAAATGAAAAATATGTCAAACAATTTTCAAAGACTTCGTGATAGTATGGAAAGTGTTGTAATCAGGTAAGAAATTAATTTATGTGAATGGCACTTCAAGTTCCAAGTTACTAAGTAATAAAAAGTTATTGAAATGATAAATATTTCTCCATTTCTCTCTCTTTTCCTCTCTCTCTTTTTCTCTAAACGAATATACTGAACAAGTACACTTCTTTTTTGCTGTCCATGATGTCAACATATTTCTAGCTATCTGGAGTTGACATGTATTGCAAGTAGTAATTATTAATGTGCCTCTGTATTAAACATTGTGTTGGTTTTTACATCATTTGAGCTATAAAATGATAAAAATGCTCTCCACGACTGGAAAGTAAGTTTTATAATGTCAACTCATTGTCATATAGCGTGTCTGTTCATCTGTCACCATCTTTTCATAATTATTTTTCATAACATCATTTCGCTTTTGAGTCTTCTCAACTGTCATGTTACTATTATCTGCTGCTGGATCATTGTATGCCTCACTTTCTATGATCAGTGCATTTCTGTTTTGTAAGTGTGCTCGGTGATCTATTGACATATTTTGTTATGTGTCTTCTTTTATGAATAAAGAAGTTGTATTATAATCTTTTGTATTATATAAGAAAAACAGTATTTAGGAACTTGATGTACTCAAATTTATTTAGGTATAATGCAAGGAATTTGAGATATTAGTAAAAATTCCATATAATCATTTCTGTTATATTGGAATAGAATTCTTTGCCACTAGGGCGAATAGCTTATTACTTAACTAGGAGGCTTTTCTAGATTAATGTTCAGATGGATTGAAAAATTATATTTATTAAGTTAAGATTCTCGTGTACGATACCTGTAATGGAGGTAGAAAAAAGTTAAGAAAAATCGAGCCTAGTAGTCCTCATAATAATGTCTCTGGCAGCATCAGTTAGGTAAGGTCACTTGAGGTTGAAGGCTCTGCCAAAATTACCTTTAAAATATTTTGTAAATAGTTATAAAATTTGTCTAATTCGGCTGCTGAATGCCTTTGTTCATCACATCTATAGATATCTTATAAAAAATTTTCGGCACCTTACAAGGATATATTATTGCTTCATATATTTAAGAAATTAAAGAATGATCTTCTTAAGTGATATAATGAATAATTTATTCATTACAAACACAGTACTTATTTATACATAATTATTAGTGAGAGTAGACTGTACATTTTCTACTCTTAAACTAGGAACCACATTAATTATTAGCTGTCATGTAGAAGTCATAATCATGCTGATTAATTGATTGTTATAAAATTAGGCTCTCGAATCTTGAATATTAAGATGTTTGAAACAGCTTTATCAACTCATTGACTTTTATCGCCCTTTTTCAAACTTCCATACCTATATAAATTCTCTAATCATTGATTAGCTCATAATACGGAACTTTTTTTACTTACATTATGCAGTCAGTGAGAATCAATATAAATTTGTTAGTATTAAATTTATGAACTTGTGCAAAACTTTTTGAAGAAAAGGTAGATTTACGACGAAGAAAATCTACTTATAAAATCACATAATTCAGTTATAAAAAGAACGAGTTCAAGTACGAATTTTACCAGCTCGACGTAAGCTTATTATGGGTAATCGGAATCAGTACGAAATCTTCGGTTCAGATAGAAAATAATGACCTAATAACATTTATGAGGTACTGATTTTCGGTGATCTGTCTTTATTACTTTATTACTTAATTACTTAAAGAATTTTCTCATCAGTATTGTCAATCAGGTCATTTCAATGCACAATCGATTACAAATAATTGGCCCTTTGAAAATCATCGATGTTTGTTCTGATATTTGCTCAGCTATAAAACTTTTCTTAACCCATTAACAACCAAACGCACTAAAATTTTGCACAAACTTCGAGCTGTTAGAGAGGGTATAAAATATCCTAGAATTTTTACTGATCCCTCGTATATAATGTTTTTGAGGTCGCTCTTTCAAAATTAGAATTGGTAAACATTAGGATGTTACGTCTCGTGCACCAACTACGAATAGCTAATGAATGAGACGTTCCAATATGTTGACTAGTGGTTAGATATGTCTCACTTATAATAAATGTATGTGGAAATGTAAATATGTATGTATGATAATTGCACTACTTTGATAATCGTAGTTTTTAATTGTTGATAGAAATGCAGCAGGCTCTAACTGCTTGTTGAATTGTATTGGATAGGTCGTTGAATAATACTTGCACGATGTTACTTTGTAACAGTCGCGAGTTTATTAAGTAAAGTAATCACCAATTGTCGGACCGGTGTGTACGGAGTTGAGTCTCACAGGTACTTATTGACTGACTGACGGACTACTGATCAACTGCCCCACGAGTAATTTTGTTCATTCCTTTTTATATCTTTTACAGCTCTTTTCAGCTCAGTATTGCGATATGGTGTGACATTTTGTTTTTGCTGAATATAAATTCTTGCGTTCGGTGACTTTATTTCGGAGTGTCATTTACCTCACGTTTCCTCAACTTTTTACTGACGTGCGAGTAGTTTAGTAGCTTTGAATTTCATGAATGTGCATTTGTTACAAAAAGGATGCGTCGTAAGACGTAACAAGGAAATAACGGCAAAAAGATGAACAATTAAAAACTTGCTTATGGTGTATAAACACGTTATGTTGTTTCCATCATTTTGTTGTGGCAAGGAATGATATTCAGAGAAAACATAAAAGTTAGAATAGAACTGGAATAAAAAAAATATTCCACAAGTATTTAAATTTTTTATCCACCATCTTGGATCCACTATTTTATTTTTCAACCTACAATAATTCTAAATCAAAGTTATAAAAAATTACAATAATACTTAAAAAATTTGAAAAAAATCGATTAAAATTGATTTTTTTACTGAAATGTATACTTTGACAGCCGCTGTATTCCTTCCGCCATTTTGCTTTTGACTATAAATGATGTTTTAGAAAAATAGTAATATTCAGAACCAAAATTCATGAATAAAAGAAAACTAATCCAAATATTTTTATTTTTTTTTCAAAGTTTTCATTTTTCGGCCACCATCTTGAATCCGCCATTTTTTAAATTACTAACTTTAATATTATAAATTCAGACTAACATCACTTATTGAAATTATGTCAAAAACAATAATTTTTTCAACAATAAATAAAATATTTCAAAAAAACACTACATTTGAAGTTTTTTCACTAATTTGCCGCCATTTTGAGGTCAGCATTTTGAATTTTAAAATTTTCTCAGAAATGGTTTATAAAGTTCAGATATCAAGTGCTCCGATTAGATACATTTTTTGAAAAGATCTTCACTGTTTAGAGGTGAAAAACTGAATTGAAAAAATATGACAATAATTTTTAAGCATTTTTTGAAAAAACGTCGCCATAATTAATTTTTCTGAAAAGTTATGTTAATTCAAAGGCCAAATTCTGAAGAAGCAACCTCAAAAACATAAAATTTGAAGGATCGGCAAAAATTCTAGGATTTTTTATACTCTTTCTAACAGCTCGAAGTTTGTGCAAAATTTCAATGCATTTAGTCATTAACATATTAAGGTCCATGCCAAAACAGCATGAGACAGCGCTAAACTAACTATGCCATTCATAGCATAAGTGAAAAAAAAGTACACGTGTTTTTTCTTTTGCCATTTGCAATTGTTTATAAAAAATTATTTAAAATTACCAAAAAAATAATATTTTTAAAAACTGATTGTGGCAATCGATTCTACGGGAAAAAATATGACTAAACCGTATATAACGTTTTCTTGTCAAACTTCAAATTGTTAGTGTAAAACTGCAATAAACAATTGCAGGCCGGACAGACTCACCTGTATACGCCAAATCCTAAGAAAAATTCATGGCCTATACCGTCAAACTATCTATGTTGTTCATAGCATATGTGAAAAAAAATTACCTATATTTTTTCTTTTGCCATTTCCAATTGTTTATAAAAAATTATTTAAAAAAATTAACAAAAAAGTTAATATTTTCAAAAACAGATTGCGGCAATCGATTCTATGGGAAAGAATACGACAAAAACGTATAAAATGTTTTCTGGTCAGACTTAAATTTGACGCTAGGGAATGACTATAAAGTCTATCCATCCGAAAGTTTGATACCAGTGGTTATGAATATACTACAACCTAATGGTTGGGTGAATGATTTGAAAAAATTTTCTAAGCAAATTGTAGAAGAGGTTTGCGAATACTATCTTCAGAAGTTTACGAGTAAACGTTCTAACAAGCGAAACAAGTCCAGTGATCCATCATCCAATGCACACAATATGATACAAGGTCTGTACAAGAAATGTTCATCAGCATCGTGTGTAACAAGAACTGAATTTTTTGCCAAAAATGTTCAATAACTCTGTGTAGAAAACATCAAGATGAATACATGAAAGAAACTGAATGAATATTTTAACTTTCTTAGTAATTTCTTCAAATAATTTTTTATAAACAATTGGAAATGGCAAAAGAAAAAATATAGGTAATTTTTTTTCACATATGCTATGAACAACATAGATAGTTTGACGGTATAGGCCATGGATTTTTCTTGGGATTTGGCGTATACATGTGAGTCTGTCCGGCCTGCAATTGTTTATTGCAGTTTTACACTAACAATTTGAAGTTTGACAAGAAAAAGTTATATACGTTTTTGTCATATTTTTTCCCGTAGAATCGATTGCCGCAATCAGTTTTTAAAAATATTAACTTTTTTGGTAATTTATTTAAATAATTTTTTATAAACAATTTCAAATGGCAAAAGAAAAAATACGTGTACTTTTTTTTCACTTATGATATGAATGGCATATTTAGTATGTCTCATGCTGTTGTGGCATGAGCCTTAATGGGTTAATGGGTTAACGGAAATAAGATGATAGAAAACATATATCTGTAAAACCCCTTTGGAAACAGGAACTGTTCTAAAATTAATATAATGAGTCTCATTACAAAATCATCTTTTTTTTTTGTTGCTAAAAGCACATAAATATTAGAAATTGTTAGGATTTGCTTCTACATAGGTAAATTGATTAAGCTTCTCTAATAGCCATTTTCTTAAA